TATGGTTGTTAATAAAGCGAGAGGTGACCGTATCGTGCGGAATGAAACAATTCTCTGCCTACCCACTCGATTTACGACTTCATACTTTGTGCACATTGTCTATGCAAGATGACGCTTTATCTGATGGCAAAGTTTAATACACTGCCGTAATGGACGATTCATCTATGCAATTTTATTAACCTAATTCGTATCTTTCTAATTCTTACCAATCTAAATGCGAAAGTATAGATGGATGGATGTTTGTTAGAGTTTATAGCCTAAACAGCTGAACGGATTTTGATCAAATTTGACTTAGATGTAAAAGATAGTCGGGAAGAACACAAAGGCTACGTAATTTTGATTTTTTTTATTCCACGTCAACGGAGGCTACAACTAGTATATAATAACTAGCTACACGATTTAAGCTTTATAATTATAATCTATTATACTTTAAGTTTATACTTTGAGTTTACACCCAGTTTGATAAATATAGGGTGAAAGCAAACTCGTAAATTTTTAATACACATTTATTAAGCACTGCAAAAACACATCTATGAAATATATTTAGTCAGAATCGTCATCAATAAGGACTCTTGCTTTCTTTCGCTTTGTCACAATTATTTCTTCGTCTTCGTTCTCACTGTCGTCTGAAAAATGACATAAAACAATCGTAAGAAGTACTTGTAGAGAAAATAAATTTCCTACTCAAAATGAACTAAAAAGGAGAACAATTGGAATCTAAATAAATGCTAAAACCACTTACCAGAATTATGCTTTGGTATACTCTTTAAGATGTCTTCTGTATCAGGTTCATCGTCACATTCAAGTGTCTTCTTAGCAAACGACAAAATATCTTCTTCGTCACTCTTCTCTTCTGTCTGTTCTTCTTCTATTCTCTGCAACTTCTCTTTTCTATTATCTTCATTATCAGAACTACGACTTCGTTTTCGTGTTTTCTTATTAATACTTTTGTTAATGTTTTCTTCTGTATTGTCGCGTAATCTTCGTAAACTATCAAACAGATCTTCATCATCGCTCGATTCTTCTTTTCCGTTCTTTTCTGATTCTTCTGATCTAGCGTTATTGGTTAATGTCTCGTCTATTATGAGTTCTTTATTAATAGCTTTCAAAATAATCTCACGACGTTTTCTAATTGTATTGAAGTGAAGGTTACTTGGTATTCTCCAGTACGTTTCCTACAATTTACAATAAAATACATTTACCATAACAAAAGTAAGAAACCTATTTTACAATTCATCATCTTTTTTTAAATAACCGTATAACTTTTAACAGAAAAAATAAGATTTTCTAACATTTAAATTAGCAGCAATTTTACTTTTTAAATAAAAGCCAATAATACTTTAATTACGAGCGTAAAGGGGTACAACGGTAAAGGTAGAACTGAGAAGGTTAAGAGAAAGGAGGTAGAACTAAGAACGAACAAGAATTGAGAAGAAGGGTTGCTTGAAATGTGGCAGTGTACTAAAACCTGTGAATGAGATAAAGACAAGATGATGAAATAAAAACTAACCTGTTCATCAGCGGGAGGTAATATACCAACTCCTTTTAGGACTTTATGAAAAGTATGTTTTTCCATAGCTTGCACCGAGTGTTCAGACATGGGCACTAGCGGCGTGCCCTCCGCGCTCGGGTCGAAGCCTTCCGCTTCTTGGTCTAATGCTACCTCTTCCAAATTCTCTGCCACCCATTTTAATGCTTCGCCAAAACCTACCAGAAGTTATCTTTGGTATTTATTCTTATTATTAAGAAACTTATTGCTAATCTTAGTAATGGGATGGTTACTAAGGGCATCTCTTAGTAGCCTAGTAACGAGTGTTTGTAAAACAGTTTGCCTTATATGAAAAATTGTTATTCAAATACTTAAAACAAATATAAACAGTTTCTTTTCCCAAGAGATAATTCTTTGATTATTATCAATACATTGGAAAAATTTAATGGAAATTCATAAAGAGGATTATAGATTCTTTGAATAACGAGCGTTTATTCGCGTTGAGGCAGATTGAATTTTTTTATGTAAGAAACAGTTTTCCAATAAAGAAATAACGATAATGTAATTTACATAACTAATGAAAAGTTTTGAAATAAGCACTATCGATTTAATTTTCATGCTTCTTTAATGCTGAATTAAATAAATACTTACCGCTATCAACAGCTTCCACCAACAGTTTAGCAATTTCACTAGCGGTAAGTTCAATATTTTTAGTGTTTCCTTTACGAGCATCAGCTTTTCTTTTATTTGATTTTTTGATATTTATATTGGCTTTAGGAGAGCGTACTTTTACATTCCTATCAGAATCACTTTCATCTGATGATTCAGAGCTCGATGAACCTGTGAAATAAATATTTTAATTTTAAAAATTGACAAAGATATTTTAATGAAAAGATTTGTACACAAATTGTTTATTCAAAATAACGTAATTATAATAGGTTTTTTATTTGACGTCAGTACTTACTATCAGATTTGTCGCTGTTATTTCCATCGCTTTTTGAAACCCGTTGCTTCTTTTTCCGGCATTGGTTCTTGTCCTGTATGAGATCTAACTGCAAAAGTCTCTCTACGAAGCTACGTCTTGGCCGTTTACGTGGCATTCGGGGAATTATTACTCCCATTGGATCTGTTATTTAGATTATCATTTTCATTTAAACGTCCTACGAGTATATCTATACTAATATTATAAAGAGGAAAACTTTGTTTGATTGTAATAAAATAACTCAAAAACTACAGGGCCGTTTTCAATAATTCTTTTACCATTAAAAAGCTACGTTGTCAGTAACATAGGTCATGATTTATATTACTTTTTAATATCACGCAGAAGAAGTCGCGGGTGAAAGCTAGTAAATAATTCACTAACTTTTAAAAAATAAACCATTCAAAATAGGGCTAGGGTAATCTAAACAGTAATTGGTGAGTTAATATGAATTTAACGACTTTTTGCGATACTAAACCATAAAATTATTGCGGTTTCTATTAAGAATGAATACTTATAGATGTAACGGACAATCAGTTTGGTCCCTAACACTCCATTAAGCCTATTATTACATTTCAGTGAGCGAACTTCACTATTAAGATAATTTACGACCGGCATACATAGTCAATTAACGGCATATAATTCATATTAAATCGGTACATTTATTGCGTGAGAAGTAATATCAAATTCCAACGAAAGATTACAAACAAAACACAAGTCATCCTTCCACACAAATTGTCATACTCAGAGTCTACACTAAGTATTGCAGTTATTTGAATTTATAGAACACTATCAAGTACTTACCGGGCGAATCACCATACTGTTTCCACAACTCAATAAGTAAAGCATCTTCTTCCTCTAAAAACTCTATAGGCACTTTTTGAGTTTGTCTTTCTTTATTACTCTTTTTCGTTGGCGCTTTAAATATCAAACCCAAGTCTTTTAACTTCTTGATAACTCCACGTCTAGTTCGAGTCTGATCGATCAGGTTGTCCAAAATCCAATCAATAACATCTACACAATATGAAATCAATAATTGTAGTAAAGAATCAAATAATGGTCCTTCGAGTCGGATAACATATTGTAGTATACCTTTCTCTGTTGTAGGGTTTGTCTGATTCTCCATAAATAAGTTGCGTAATTCATCCTCTTGCTCTTCACTCCAATGCCCTTTACCTACTTTGTCCCTAACACGAAATATACTTTAATACCACTTAAAAAGTTAAAACTGACATGATTGTTGGATAAAATTGTCAACGTTAACTTTCTCTGCTACATTTTATGCACACGGACTAAAGTATTATAAACATTTTATAGATATTCAGAATAAACATTTATATTAGTGTAGTAATGATCCATATGCAATTTAAATCCAATATCTATTTCAAAGTCTCATTAATTTTGTATTAAGAGATATAAGAGCACAATTTCATATTAATTTCAATGTATTTCCATAGAACAGAAACAAACTACGTTTTATGAAATATGAGGTTTTATATAGTGAAATTAATTTAGTGAATTGTTGTAGATTGTCTGAATTTCATCGAAGTTCTTTAAGAAAGAAAGATAAACAGAAAGTGAGTGGTGTTAAACTATTAGCATAAATCTAAAGTTAAATAGACTTACTTTTGGTCGCTGTAGAGGTCGTAGCCGTGCTCTATATCGATGGCGTCCTTAGACGACTTCCAAAACAAAAGTTCGATAAATACTTTTGTATTTTTGTAGGCGACCTCCGAGAACTTTCTGAACACGAAGAGAGCGAACTTTTCCAACTCCTGAGCGAAAGGAGATCATTTGAAATTCAGCGAGAGAACAACTTTATAACAACCTATTGAATCGAAGGCTACGCTTAAACAACAAATCTATCTTTTATTAATTTCAAAACGAAAACTTTGCCTAGAGTTTATAAATAAGATAAAAAAACTGCATTATTATGATGTTAAGTACCAAATGTATACTAACGTTTTATATTTTTTTAAAACAAGCTTGTGAGATAAAGATTTGAAAATTCCTTATATTTGGTCCATTCCATAACATTCGGACAACTTATAAATTCTTATTATAAATGCAAAAGTTTATAATAGATGGTTGTTTGTTATAGTTTGTAGCCTAAACAACTGAACTGAATGAATTTTGGCATACATAGATGTAAAGGATGCTTTAGAAGAACACTTAAGCTACTTTTTTTTTAATCTACGCGGACAGTCGCGGGCGTAAGCTAGTATTCGCTTAAATTACCTTAAAATGTGGCAAAGGGTTGTGGAATATCTTCTGGAAGGTGAGGAAGATGGAGGCCTGGAACATCATGGAGGGCCGCCTGCAGTCCCACGCGACGCGGTGCAGCATCTTGATGATGCAGTGGTTCGTGTGCAAAGAGTTCTTCTCGTATCGTTCTAGAAGGTACGCGCACGCACTCACCACGCGGGGGTGGCAGAACCTATGAGATGGCGGTCACAAGAAATTAAACTTCCGAAATCAAATCCTTGAAATATTTTTTTTAACTAACAGGTAAGTAATCGTTTCAAAATCGAATGTGTACCAATATTACCTTTGTATGAAATCTTGAAAATCGAAGTCAGTTTCCACAACAGATGTAGTTGTCTCCTCTTCTTCATCTAAAAAAAAACATTTTTTACATGTCTATAAATTATAATCAGTACCTTTATCAAGTTACAGAGTAATTTATAATTGGAAATTAAATTACATGTGCATTGAATCTGTAAATGCTTACCTTCTTCGTTATCGTAGCCATCTTGTGACTCGTCTTCTACTTCTGGAACCTCTGTAAACCAAAATAATGTTTACCAAATTATGACGTCATCTCAAATATCAAATTATTATGCAATTCATACAGTATTATTTAATACTTGCCGTTAACTTCTACGCCCAAATCTGTGTTGTAAATGGTTTGCAACATTTCTAATTCTTCGTCCTCAGGGATACCGCTAACTCCGAATATTCCTTCCTCGGGCCAAACCTCTCTAAGATCATGTTTTAGTTAAAATAGTATTACGTGATTGCAAATATTATGCGTACATTTAAACATTCTTATTTCTATATACATAACAAAAATATACCTAGCAGCTCTAAACGTCCCGACAGCATCCTCGAATTTGGATTCCCGCATTAATTTTTGTATTTTCTTCATACAGTCCTCTCTAAAATACATAATTGATGTTAGTGTTATTTTACAAGAGTCTGAACAAGTAGTGTAATGTATTTAAATGAACATAAATAAGTTTAACTATCGCACTTAGAATGTTAATTGTAAAAATCTTTAATGGATGACATTGTGTGTGGAAAAAAAATATTTTTGATGTACAAATATTTTTTTTTTGTCTACAGATTCTATATTAAAGATATTTTTTCTGTCTTTACCGATTATAGATATCTGCAATGTATAAAAATCTATAAAGTGAAATCGAAAAATAACAAAAGTTAGTAGCCTATGTGCCCAGACTATCTACATAGATGAAAATTTCATCGTTATTCATTCAGCCGAAGCTACAAAATGTAACAAACATCTATCCATATCTATACTTTCGTGTTTTTATTAGTTACGAACTTTCGCCCGCCACTCCGTCCGCGCGGAATTATAAAAAACAAAAGTGAATTATAAAAAACAAAAGCCTATGTGTCCTTCCAGACTATTGTCTAAATCTATCAAAATTTCGTAAAAATCCGTTCAACCGTTTAGGCTACCAACTCTAACAAACGAACAGCCATCTAAATTTTCTCATTTATAATATAAGTATGATTACTTCTGCTGGTCTATAGGTACATCGGAGGCTGCGTCGAATGGCGGCGGGTACTCCGCGAGGCCGGCGCTCAGCACGCACGCCAGCTGCGGGCACAAACACTCCCACAGCGGCACCTCTATAGGTACAGCCCTTACTTTCTGACTTTGTTTCTTTTCTAATAAGAAAAAACATTTTTTTGTACCATAGGCGACGCAGGCAGGGAGTTGTTCCCATAGAGTCAAAAACTGTCAAGTTAGAAGTACAATACTGAAAGATTTACATATATAATTCAAAAACAATTTGTCAGGTTTTAATTATAAAATAAACCACATATTAGTAAGCATTCTCTTCAGAAAAAGTGTGTTTAATATTATCCCCCTCTTGATTACTCCAACTCCTCCCTCTCCGATCATCGGCAGACGACGCTATTATCTTAGAAGGGGCACACTATTCCATACAAAAATTTCAACGATTTTGTACACAAAATATACAAATTCTGGCTATACTTTATTTATGAAAGTTGTCGATCCGTTTAAATTGAAATAATGTCGACTACTATTCCGAACCGAGCTTAAAGGATGTGTTCAAAATATAAAAGCGAAACTAATCGTTTCAATAAGTACAATAATTTAACTTACAAAATGGTAAAAAATGAGAATATTTCGTAACGTTTCGTAAATCACTATCAACATTTTACTACACAATTTCTATAAGAATGGTGACGTGTATCGGAAATGTTTCGACCAACTTACTTTTCGACTTAGACTTCTTGCGAAGTTTCTTTTGTACAACGAGGCCCGTCTTCTTGCAATAGTGCTCTAACATTTTCAGAAATAGATGAACAGTTTCAACCAAATCCACTAAATACGACCTGAAATTATATTTCTCAGCTAAAAACTTAGAAAAAAAATTAAGTTTAACTTTATTGCCTACTGTGGTGATAACAACGGCTATTGAAAATGATAATTTAGAAACAATTTCTGCTCTAAATTATTGAAAATTACGAGTATATATTGTATAGAAATTAAGTGAATATTATTAAAAATACACTTACCTCGGCATCTTGCTATCATCATAGTTCAGAAACGTATAGAGAATAAATTCCCTATACTCTAGCACATAAAATATGTTACTTTTTAATACTTTAGCGGACTCCTTTACTGAAGGGTCGGTGCTTTTGTCCATAGCTAGTAATGTATTTAATAATTCCTTATATGCTCTCAGAGAGAGATGGAGTCTACGGACCCAGGCTGAGAATTTCTTCTTCTCTACTTTTATCATATCGTAATATTTCTCCATTTGTTGTTGGACGTAGTGAAACATCGGTACGGACATTGTCTCACTAAAATTGAAACAAAACAATAAAATACTAGCTTTCGCCCGCGACTATGTCCGCGTGGAAATAAAAAAAAATTGAGTAGTCTATATCCTCTATGTCTGTACCAAATTTCATACAAATCCGTTCAGCTGTTTAAGCTACAATCTCTAACAAACATCCATCCATCCATTTCCAACTCTAACAAATTTCGTTAAACATTAGTAAAAGTAAGATTTGCTTTTACTTATTTTTTAAAGGATTTACGTGATATGGAAGTGAATTCAGCTACGATATACTTGAGCAATACATACTGTGCCGACCTTTATTAGGGGCAAAAAATATAGTTGGGAGATTAAGTGATTTTTTTATATAAAAATTGAGTGGAAAAATAGGATATATGGCTGAATGTTTTTTATCTGTCGTATATATGTTTCATTTATGGTAATACGTTACAGTCAAAGCGCCGTTCGCTTTAATCCTTTGTGTGGTTTTTAGAGATTTTTCTGCAGAGCTTAACGTCGGATTAAAACCGTATACGTATCTATGTTGTTTGCACAATAAATAAAATATACTGAGAGAAATCCTTAATTTATACCTGCCACCATATCGAATGAATTACGCAATATGGGGAAAAAAATAACTAGAGAAGTATTTTGGAAATTGTATATGATTTTTTGATACCAATATCTCAAGTATTTCGTAATTTATTTGCATTAATTTTACGGCAGGTTAAATATAACTAAAATTATCTAATGAAACAATTACAGAGCTTCCATCTTTGTACTGAAATAACAGGCAGGAAGTTGTCAAATTTCCTGTTTCCCAACTCATCAGGCTGTCAGCGGCGCTCAATTACACGGGCGCCGATGAGATGGGCCAACTTAACAACGATCTATTGTAATACTTAGATAACTTAAGTACTACGTGATATACCTTTAGGTACATAACATTTTGATACACTAATATCAAAATGTATTTATTTTGTTAAGGGAAAGCATTTTTTAAAAGCAGTTTATAAGAATTAATAAAAATTCTGCAATTTTTTATACTATTTTTAGTATAAACATTTATAGGAAAATATCTTTACAAAAGTACACTAAAACACTGATTTAGTTTTGTTTACTCATGCGAATCTAGTAAAAAAAAATGTCAATACGAAATCTCAAAAAAATGTAATTTTTTTGTTTTTATTCATAGGTTTTTTTAGGAAAAAATTTTTTTTTCCTTATAAACATGGTAAACTATTATTAAAACTAAAAAGTGTACATCAATTAAGTAGAAATACCTGACAAGGCCCACTTGGAAGTTATGACCGCGATTGAACTCCATAAAAAACTTGACAGCCCATAAATAGTAAGATTCATCATTTTGTTGTGCCCTCGAGCGCACCAACACGTCCTTCACATAATGCATCAGTGGATTGTACGAGCTATTCAAAAATTCTATACAAAACTCTTTCAGAAATAACCTGCAAATAAACCATTAACTAAAAAATCAAGAACAGAAGTATAAAAAATTAAAAAAATTAAGATTTTTTGTTAATGATAAGGTAAAAATGTAGTGTGTAAAGCAAATGTATACAATAAAAGTAACACTTTTGGGTAATATTATTATAAAAAAAATAAAAAAAATTGTCACCTCACAGCAAATGCAGACCGTCTTTCTAACACACCACTTTCAACCGGTCTTCTATGTTTAGGTTTCACCAATCTAGATTTCTTACTGCCATTGAAGTCTAATTTAGATATATTATTTAAAGGCTTTAATGATATGATTTCATTATCCGATATAGACTTCATATTCTGGACAACATATGTCCCTCCAAACCTAGAATGTCTAAAAAAAAACATACTGTATATAGCCTTACTATCACTCCAATCATCAATAGCTTAGGAAGTCCCTTAGTGAATATTTAGCATAAGCAATCTACACTTAACAATGGCTTTAGTAACATCCAACAGTTAGGCAATGCCTTTAATAACATCAAAAATTAATAGTGATGTTACATTCATCAGCAAGCAGTTATTGGTTGCAATACCCAATTTATGTTCCATTCCAGCAAAAGAATCCAGTGCTGGATTACAACTGGTAAAATGTAGAACTGGATTTCAGAGTTTATTAAACTAGTTTAATAAGTTCTTTATAGTTGTGTTAAAAAGTTTAAAGTTGGTTTAAATTTTTCCATATAAATTAAGCATAAGCATAAATCTTTAACATTAGTGAAAAACATACCTTGTACCAGAATATTGTCTTATTTTATTTTGTCTTTCTTTGGTTTCCGTCATTCTGATAGTCAAAAGTTCCTGCTCATCTCTTACTTTCTCATCCATACTTCTCTGCAGAGCAGCGCTAGCTAAGCTTGACGGGTTCTGTTCCCTCAATAAATGTGAAATTATCTCTAATATATGCATAAAATACTGCTTTTCATTTTCTGATGACATATAAAGTATTATATCCAATAATCCTGATTGGTTTAAAGCCCATAATACCTATAAAAATATCAAATTGTATAACATTAAACTATCATACTAATCATACTTATATTAATACTAATATTATAAATGCGAAAGTTTAGATGGATGGATGAATGGATGGATGGATGGATGGATGTTTGTGAGAGTTTGTAGCCTAAACAGTTGAATGGATTTTGATGAAATTTGGCATAGATGTGGAGGATAGTCCGGAAGAACACATAGGCTACTTGCATTTGTGTTTTTAAATCCGCGCGGATGGAGTCGCGGGCGAAAGCTAGTATTTAATAAAATTTAAATTGCATGAAACTGGCCTAACCTGATCATGAACGCTGGCATCATTCTCAGGTCTTCTTTCCTTATCTAAATCAGCGGGAACATGTAATACATTTCTTATCAAAATTAAGATCCTTTCAATAATCAGACCTGTATCTTCATCTCTTTCTGACCAATCCTGTGTACAATTTTACATTACATTTTATAATTCAATAAATTTAACATCATATTTACACAGAGAACAGATGTAAAGTAATTTATCAATTTAACTTAATAAATTGCTTAATGCCAAATACTAGTTCACCTTCTCTTTCCAATCATTTCTAGTAAAGAAAGGGACTAAAGTAAATGTATATTTTACTGTAATGCATCTACAATCTTTTAATTTATTATAGTCTACAGATGTCTATGAACACTAATCTATAGTCAGTATACTAGCCTAGGCATGGATAGTATGAATCCTCTGGTGCCATAATATGGATACTACTAGCTACTGCCTTACTGGACTGGACAAGTTTGAAACTCATAGTTAACACTTACTATTTCTAACACTTTTGCTAATTTCTTTGAAAACATCTGCCAAACATCAACTTTAGTGAAAGCTTCTTCTTTGTAGTTTTGCAAATGAGATAATATTTGTAAATAATTGTGTCGGGCAGTGCGCTCCACAGGAACTTCCTCTCTATACAGCAGCAGAGCAGGATTTGTTAAATTAACAATTAACCTGCCAGCAAAAGAAATAATATGATATCACTACAAGTTAAATTGTACAGCAGTTTTATAAATGACGTTTACACAACATCTGTAATACTATATAAAGTTCATTGTTCTGACAAAAATAGAATTTTACCTCAGAGTGACATCAAACAGTTCACTATTTTCCCAATGATCAATAAGCATAGGCAATAGATCCGTTTGTAGTACTTTAGTTTGTCCAAAATGTCTGCGTATTTCGTGGTCTTCGCCATCACGTCTCAAATATCTAATTAAATCTTTAACTGTATTAAGAGTGAAATCATCTATCAAATACTTTCCTGTTTTCTTATTTAGTGTTCCTAAGGCATTACAAGTGGCAGAAAGTTCCGCTGATAAAAGGGAACTCATGATTTTACAAACTTCAATTCACTTCTTTAACTTAAAACGCAAGCAATATTTTAAAATCTGTTAAAACACAATAATTTACAACATATTGTACCATAGAAGTTAAAAGTTGTGTTACAAAGCAAAATATTTCTGATTTTTTATTTATAGTTATACATTTCTTATTCCTTCACTATTTGACAACTAAAAGCCCGCGAAAAAGTTTGGTGTCTTTAGGGATGTCTGCGCTGTTCGGAATATGTCGGTTTTTCAAGCTGCCGATTATCGGTTAAAACCGATATAACATAAACAAAATATTTATTAGACTTGGGTAAAAAAAAATAGTTTCTAAATGAAATGAAAGGTTTCGATTGAAACAATTTTAGCAAAATACAGTACGTTATTGTCATCGATTCATATTATTGACTATTTCTGATAATTCTTTGACATCATCGTTAACCCTGTCTTCTTTGAATCCAAAGAAATTTCGCTATGTAAAGCGATTCAGTATACTTTCTAGCCTAATTTCTAAAATTCGATGAATGGTTTGGCATAAACGAAAAGATTTAAATCCACAGTGGCATAAACAATGAATCAATTAAAACTTAAAATCGTCTGATGGCGCGACAAACTTTTCAAAGTTGTTCGGAAGGAGGAGTTTTACAAGATATCATATTTTACTCCACTACGTTATCTAAACTGATATTTAATTTTTGTTTCCTACCGCAATTAATTACTTATAAATATGGAACCATGAAACTTTTTAGGAAGAATGCAAGTAAAACTCATAACTAAAAAGATTTTTTTTATTTTCAAATATCTAACACAGGACTGTTTAAATTGTTTAAATATGCCCGTACGTGCTTTAATTTTATTAGTATGTTATATCATGGTTACTCCTGTATGAAAAGAATAAGATAAATTTATTTAAAGTCTAGCTTCCTCTCGTTCCTTTAAGTATGAAATTTAACAGAGCACCGCTCCGTCAGAGTAATTTATTTAAGCTTCGGATAAGAAGCCGGGTGTAATTAGTGTCTGCAGCGCTATTTGGCTGCGCTGCATATTTTCCTGTGCCGTCGTCGTTACTTTAAGCACAGATAACGAAGCTAAATTTTTAAATGAGAACAATTCATTTTAATAAATGTGATTTCGTTTTGTACGTGTAGATAGTTTGTTTTAACTTTACTCTTGCCCTTTTTCCAATAGTGTGGCTAACTAGGCGATTCTATTGTTTTCACTTTTATTTTTGATCAACTACTGAATATTTATGGGCAAATAACAGTTAATTGCTTAGTGTAAAAGGAATCTTATTTCTGAGAGACAACTAAATATTTCTGATGATTCTTTTTTTTTGTCATCTAGTGTCGGTCTCCGGAAAATGGTTTGCTTTACGTATTTCACCAATTATGCCCATCGCTTTAAGGACACTTGAAAATGAAAAGTTAAATAACTGTTAACATATTGTATGGTAGTTCAGTAAGTAGTTTGCAATAGAGTACCGGCATCGGCAGAGACGCGAAGAACAAATTTGTCGGCGACAGCCACGCTTCGTATCCCTCAATTAAAACTTTTCCAAGTGCAGAATACCTGCATGAAATTGCAGGTAAAATTACAAAATTATATTTCATAACTGTTATTTAGTAATCTTACTTCTTACCCTTACTAATGTTATAAATGCGAAAGTTTAGATGGATGTATGGATGTTTGTTAGAGTTTGTAGCCTAAATCGCTGCACGGATCTCGATGAAATTTGGCATAGATGTAGAGTATAGTCTGGAAGAACACATAGGCTACTCGCTTTTGGTTTTAATTAATTCCACGCCGACGAAGTCACGGGCGAAAGCTAGTGTATAATGAAGTTTAGTATTAGTTTTCTGGAATAGTAGCAACAATCTAATAGAACTTGAATTTCTAATATTATCTCCTTACTCGTTTCTTTCTTTCTATTACAAACTAAACTAAAATCTAACATCTCCATATCTTATAAATCTGACACATGAAACTTCAAAAGAACTTTTGGATAGAAAGATATATACGAGTATAAACCAATGTTCTGAATAAGAATGCATAATATCAGTCTGATAGTTCCTTTGAGAAAAAAATTCTTTATGTATAAAAGATAACAAAACGTTCCTCTTTGAACTCATTCGTTAAGACTTCGTTTATCGTCGGAAAAGATAAAGGAGTAAGTTGACTTTATAGTGGGCTGGAGGCGTCAGCTGCCTATTTAGCATTCAGGGCGTTAGAGAAGTACTACGTGTGAGACTAGGTTTACACTTAACTTCGCCACGAGTGTAAACCTGTGTGAGCTATTTTTAACACCCTGCTTGACACACTTGACACTCTCGCAAGAAAATGACCCAGTTAAATGAAGAAAAGAATCCCATTACCACTCTGGTGACTGTAGAGATTCAACAACGAAAATTTTTTAAGACCGCATTGACTGGAAATTTTATTATATTGTCGATGTAGTCCTTAACCGTTTTTCTCTTTTGTTTATTTGACTGATTCTTGACAATAATTCTATTGCTTATACCAGCTAGTCTATATAATTTATTTAAGGAGTTACAAACATCATCCACTTGCCCTTATCCCTTACGAAGGGTCGGCACAGTATGTGCTACTCTTCCATACATCTCTATCAGCCGTCATATCTGAATCCACTCCTTTCTTAAGCATATCCTTTTTCGTACAATCCATCCATACTTTCTTCGGTCTTCCTCTTCCTTTGTAGCCATCCACAAAACGTTCCACTTAAGGAATTTTAACTTCTTAAGCCTTAACTCGTAAGTCTGAAGTTATAAATAATTTAACCCTTAAAAGCATTTTTTTTCTTTTTAAATGCCATAAATTCAAATAGGTTTGCTACCTATTGGGATTTATGGTATTTAAAAAGAACATAGATTAAGGGAAAATAATGTAAAAATAGTCTATTATGTAAGGAAGAAAAGACTGATGTATAAATGCATTTAAGGGTTAAATAAGATTAGTAAACATCTTCATCTTTATTAAGTGACAAAATACAGTATATCTTGCAGTATAATTAAGTAATGTGGTGTACAAGAGGATTAATGTTGGCAATACATATTACTTTGTGCCGAACGTAAACAGTGGACCGGAACTAGGGCATTGAGCCCGCCGTTGCATAACAGTTTATCACTCGTCGAACTCAATTTAAATTTACGTTTTATTCGAAAATTTGGTTTCATGCAATCGGTAATGTTCATACATTATATTGAAAACACTTTTAAAGGACAGTTTATCGATAATTTTGTTTGCATTTTCGGCTTATTTAAATTTATATTGATTCAGAGAATTACAGCTAACATTTGCTTTTATTATTATTTAGGCTGTGCTTAGCTTTTGTATCTATAATTGAAAAAATCTTTTTTTATTCATTCAAATGACATGAAAAATTCTCTGCTTTTTTAATAACATACAAATGCATTTGTAAAAGCCATTGATGTCTGAAATCCCTTTACCAATAAGTCATGAAAAGGATAAGGCATAAAATGTAACAAAGCTATTCAATTCACTTTGCAAATCGAATACGTGATTCCTACACAGTGCGCAGATATTATCATTCGTAGCAACTCACATGTTTGGAATGTAGATATTTTTCATTAGAACCAAAAGGCTTTCAGCCATATACACTAGCTTTATTTCATTAAAAATATTATAATTCTAAAAAAAAAGCCAATAGAAATCCAAACATGTATCCCCCCAAGAATATATAGTAAATATAATAATTAAATATACTCTATGGTCTACTACTTACATTTTCGATACCTTCCTTAGCAAGACTGGTCCAGCGACATTGCGTTTATTAATAGGTAAATAATGAATCGCTTTAAACATATTTTGTTACGTCTTAAACATTTGTTTCTATCATCATCATCCACTTGCCCTTATCCCTTACGGAGGGTTGGCACAGTATGTGCTGCTCTTCCATACATCTCTATCAACCGTGATATCTGAATCCACTCCTTTCTTAAGCATATCCTCTTTCACACAATCCATCCATACTTTCTTCGGTCTTCCTCTTCCTTTGTAGCCATCCACATTCAATCTTAACACTTTCTGGTTTATGTCCCCATCATTTCGTCGCATAACATGTCCATACCACGCTAACCTTTTGCTTCTCAATATAAACTCAATATATATTAAATATAAACCGCATTTAACAAATGAATGTTTTCCATATTACTGAATAGTAGTACTACGTAGGTATCTACGTAATGCGAATTCGGTTCGAAGGTGAAAGTTGGTACGGAGCATCGCTAAATTGAATTAGTTATTGCCTAAAACCATAAACGGTCTCTGTTGCATAGCAGATAACAATTAAATTACTTCTTCCCCCTTCCTCAAGGAGGCTGCAAAGACCCCTGCGACTCCAAGACGCAGCCCTAATGAAACAAATTGGGAAAGCAATTATCTAGCAATATGCTTACGTCTACACCTATGTACATGTAAGTAGTAAAGTTTTAAACGTTAACGTAAATAAAAGGAACTCTCAAAATATTTAATTAACGAACTATCAGCCTTTTACATTTTAAAAATCACAGTCGGACGATTGTTTATTTGGAAAAATAAGTTTAAAATAATAATCCATGTAATAATACTTAACTATACCTACCATTATAAACGACTCCAGTTAGAAAAAGTATGAAAGCTAAAACTTTTAATGTTAGATCGCAGCAACTTCTACTGAAGTTTCTTTTTGTTCGCCCTCGCATTTATCCAGCGGATGTATATTTATGTGTTTGTTTATTTGTACTACAAAAGTATGTAAGTCACATCGAAGTAATATACATTACAAAGGAGTTTATACGAACATTTCAGGGACGTGTAAGCTATCTCGTGTCTGTTTTTCCAATATAATCCGGATCTAAAAAGACAAAATACAAAAATAGGATTGGTGGAAGTCTGAAATAACGTTTAAATAAAACATAACTCTAAATTTAAAACATTACGTAGCGTATTGTAGCGAAGTAGGTAATTTGCAAATCTGCGGTACATCTTAATTGGGTTCATTAATTTGTGTAGTGATAGACCTGACAGTAACATTTGCGCTTAAACAAGTATTAGTTCATCCTTTTAATGTAACCATTACTATCGTAAACCTAATCTCTGTATCTTATTGATTTGTAAATAGTGGATTTTTACAACCAATAAATTTATTTAAAAAAATCCTTAGCAATTCCGAACAATGTATCACGTAGGTTTAGCAAAACAAACGACCATTGTAACTTAGTGGGCCAGCGTTCAGTTTGTAAGCGAAATAAAACGAGCCAGCGATCCCGTGCCCCATACGTCTTTATTTCAATGATCATTTGTTTAGGATCGGCGCGGTCATCAGAGAACCGCAAGGATTCGAGCAAATTAATAGCATACGATTCGTTGTTAACGTTCAATTGATCGAAATATGCTACAATAAAATTTTGTGTTACTTCGACATATTTATACAGGCCTATCGTTCATTGATTACCTATCAAAATTTAACTCGCCTGTGACATAACAATCTTACTTTTTATATTATAAATGCGAGAGTTTAGATGGATGGATGGATGTTTGTTAGTGTTTGTAGCCTAAACGGCTGAATAGTTTTTGATGAAATTTGGTACAAATGTAGATGGTACTTTGGAAGAACACATAGGCTACTCTCTTTGGTTTTGTTTTTTTAATTCCACGCGGACGGAGTCGCGGGCTTAAGCTAGTCTTACTAATATTATAAATGCGAGAATTTAGATGGATCGATGGATGTTCTGTATGATCTCGATGAAATTTGGAACAGACGTAGAGGATAGTCTGGTAGATCACATAGGCTACTCACTTTTCTTTTATTTAACTTCACGCGGACGAAGTCGCGTGCGAAAGCTAGTACAATATACTTAAAAGTGGCCATCCATATTGTTAGGTAAGTCTAGTACTCTTTATCAATTGATTTGTTTATGGTTCAGTTTAATCATTTTTTACCAAATTTATGTTAGAAAAACATAATCCGTATTTGATAGAGGGATGACTATTCAGCACCAACGTAGCAAAACCTTTGAATAGTAGGCGTATAGAGTATTACGAAAACCCAACTGGTGCTTTTACGTCAGCAAACAAGCGAGATATTATTTTTTAATCCGAATATATTGCCGGCGACTTATTTTCTGGTGTGTTGCTATTTCGTACTTTGTGTTGTACACACAAAAAAATACGATCTCGAAATTACAACGATAGTCCAGTTTTCATAAAGATGGATTTGACCAGAAAATTAGACTATAAGCCACACTTAAGAGTCGCGAAATACTTATTTAAGCTAAGTGTAGATTTAAACACTTCATTGTGAAGGTTAAAATTTTTATTAGTGTAAAAAAGATTTGCCACTTTTGTATTGGTAGTGTCTATGTAGACCGGTGACAGAGAATGCTTTTTATAAGTATATCTTTATTAAATCTGTATGTAGTTTTCAGTGCAGGGGGCAGAACTGGCGCTCCGCTGCTCGAGGTCAACACTAACTTGGTCAGAGTAACTGTATTCCGATTGATATTTTCAAAGTATACTATGTTCCTATCATCTTATTATCTAATGTAGGTTTTATATAGAATATTTACGAGATCTATTAAATATCTGAGAGTAATTAAAGTTCAGCAAAATCAGCAGATTTTTTAAATTTCACCTGTAGGAATACAAAGCTTGGTGTGAAAGTTATAATTTACCGATAGATGGCGCTATGTTCAACCGCTTATTTCGAGAATCCATAGATAAATAACTTTTTTCAGATGTTTGGCAATGGAATAAACAAAGATTTTCATGTTGGTATGAAAATAATATTTTTGTACCTATAGCAAAGTTATATTTTCTCATAATGATCTACAAAAGGACGATGTTAAGGAAACATAAATAAAACAGGTACATTTTATTGAAAAAAAAAATATGTACACAGCAAAACAAATAAATAATCTTATATTGTATATTAGTCTATAAAACATTAATTTCATTGAAATAAAATACTATACATAACTACAGTTAGATTATGTACATAATACCATCTCATAGGGAAGTGCTATTCGTTTCAATAAACAATATCGATTTAACATTTATTATTATGTTGATATCGGGAGTCATTTATCGTTTAGGAAAATTAAGTTGAATCCCTATGGTTAAAATACATTAATATAAAAACAGTAAGCTATGATATATTATCCGGACTCGTTCTCAAAGATCACATAAATTAATTTCACACATCGATAATATTACCTAACAATGACTGTTATAACAAATTACCTAACAAAATGTATTTATGTAATGAACTATAATTAACATTCTACCTACAGAGTTTTAGAAATTTTTTACCTAGATATTATCTGCATATTGTGATTAAAAATCATTTTAGAAATGTTTTAAAATAATCTCCCTTGTACCATAATCGAAAACTTATTATTTAATCGACACTTATAGTGAAAAATCTTAATTTTAAAAATTAAAACGTAAAAAAGGTACTGAAATGTGATGCACTAAATATCAGCTTAGAACTTAAGCTAAAAATAAATCTCGAATGTCTTCAATAATTCATTTTATATTTATCACAATAAAATATGTTTTGTTCAAACTCTTACAATATTTTGGCTTTACGAACCTTGACATTTATATTTAGAAATCAACATTTTTTAATCTGTAGTTATACTCCTTAAAATATATAATTTATAGTTTTGCTAATCTATATAGAAGATATTTGTTTAAAGTGTTCAGGTCTACATTAATAAAAAAAATTATTAGCTGGTATATCGTCAAGGTTCCCGTTTGACAAAATTTTGTATAATTTTGAAATAAAAAAAAGTGACAGCTGTCATCATTACCCGAAACCTAACCGTGACTTTCCAATGATTACCCGTACAAAGACATATCGTTATCTCACTTTTTTAAATAGAAGGTAAGGGACGACAATAGTATGTCTGTACAAGTGTTGGGATAGTTGAAATTCACGGTAATATGCATTTCTCAAATCTTACCTTAAATTCATAGCAAACTATTTAACTATTGCATTACAAAAAATACTAACGAAATTACATTTGCAAAAAATGACAGTAAAGTCGAAAGTAATAAATATAATGTACACATACTGTACTTATTAATATGTTGACAGGTCGCCAGGCCAGTGTTATTGTCAATTACATCGTCCGTAATATCTACACTTTAATATGCTCAATATTTTGACTAGAAATCATAATTTTTTACTTTCTAACAAAACAAAATGTACACGATATATAACGATTTCTTCTTATCAATTTACAGTTCAATAAAAATTGTACAAACATCGATGAAATGTATTTAAACTGGAACGTCTACACAAATTGTTAAAATTCACACTTATAAAGACAGATATTTTTGTACGATTCTCGTGCAATAACATTTATTATGTTTACTTTATTATTTATTTTTACCAACTAATTGCTCATAGGAATGTTGGTTTAACAATTTGTATGACGCACCAAACTTTAGATATATAGACAGGACCTATTTCATGTTAAAATCTCTTACACCTATAAAATTATAGTGGAACAACAGTGATTCAAAACCACATATGCTACACATAAACACTACATTCTTTACATTGTATCTATAATAATGAATCTATTTTGAATACCGTCAAATGTAAATCATAATTCATTTCTTTTATAATTTCATTAAAATATCGACACAAATCCAAATAAAAATGGAATGCCTTAGTGAGTGCGCTAACATTATTTACACATTCATAAACAATCTTAAATAATAACACAACGCAATTGTCCTAATAGACATTCCACTATCATATTATTATTAATCAAATATATATTTCGATATAATTTTGCTGGTTTATTCCTCGTTAGCACCCCAAATCTTCAAGAAACAAACACATTAAAATGCTCACATATAAAAAAAACTCTGGCATCCCTGGAACCAACACAAAACTGTTATTTCAACTGTCATCGAGAACTTCTCAACCTGGTGCCGTCGACCCTCGGCTGAGCTTTCCTATACTTCTCTTTGCTTCTGATCTTATCATGTTTCTTGCTTCTTTTAGGTGTGTCCGTAAAAGATGTGCCCACATTAGAATCTTCACTAACTCTGCTCGCACCGGATCTATCGCATTTCTTATCGAGTTCCGCCATTGCCTCTTGTATAGCGTTTTCTAGCAACGCATTCAATTTTCTACTCCTGCACAATATACAATAGCTATGAGCATAGATAACGGAGAACCATAGACAAACCTAACAGGCAACTAACTTATTTTAATCTTTGGGTTGGGTTAATATTACAACATTTTTTATATGTAAATAATCATGCAACAGAAAAATAAAAAAATCACAATATCAGAAACCAATGACAATATTTTTTTCAACCTATGTAATAATAATCAACAATCATTTTTAGACATAGACGTACAATAATATTTTTTTTTCTATATACACATAGATATTTGCTATCATATTCCTTAAACATAACAGTGGGGAAGATAAAATCCAAAATAACGTATGCAACATAGTTTGCAGATGCGTTGCCTACATTTAATGACAAGACCAAACGGATATTTCCCATTCCTATGTGTATACCCCTGTCAAATCTACTCCCCTTTCCTCCCTTTCCATATAAGACAAGCGAAGAAAGGGGGAAGAGAACTAGCATTTATCTTCCAGCACACAGTCAAATAAAAAACGCGGAAATACGTGGAAATACATTAACTAAACGGCTATCTTCTGTGTGGTTGTGGTATGCCACGGGGCGAGCGGGACAATCGAAGTTATTTGGGACGTAGAGTTTACTACTCTAATTGCAAAAGGAGTTCTTTAACAGTGAGCAGATTCTTTAAAGTTTGTCAACGGGGAAAACATTCTTAAAATTTAATCGTCATGACATTTGCTTAAAGTCTAGACTGATTGCTAATAAAACTAATAAAAAAATAGTGAGCAGCTGTCTTTTGTACTGTAATTTGTACGTAATCGTTGTGTTGCAATCTTCAACTCACTTCCTGTGCTTGGTGCGCGCGGCGTGATGCGCCTCGAGGCCCTCGCTGAGCGTCAGCAGGCGCGAATGTTCGACGCAGCCGAGCGTCTTGTCGGCACCGAACCAGCGCACGCTCCACCGGCCGTCGGCATTGCGCGCCTCCAGCTTGCCCGGCCAAGACGCGTACCCCTTCACGGGCCCCCACACCAGCTCCCCCACATCGAACTTGTGCACGCACTCGCTAACCTCGCCCCCCTTCCCGTCGGACTCGTCTCCGCTCTTCGTATCTACACCACAATCGTTCAAATGTATCTATTGTACGTAGTTAAGCAAGCCGTCACCAGCCGACACCGAAGGGAAGCGAATGGCGATGTGTCTTAAAGCTTAGAAGTTGCCGTTTTTTGCACTCGTATCGCCGTACAATGAGGTTTTACAATTAGAGCGCAAAGGCGAGACAGTTTATTAATTTAGTTAAATGGGCAGTGAAAAATTACAACGAATTTAACAACATTGGATGTAATTAAATGAATTGAAGCAAAACGTATCGTGTGTGTAGTTTCTCCCGTGCCCAAGAAGGAAGATACATTAAAAATGAAAATGTGCTTTACTTACAACGATGAACAGATGAAATGATGGCTTTACAATGATGCGTTAGTAATGGGATCCCAATTCGTGAGCCAATTTTGTTACTTCGTGTGGTGCAATGGAAAGCGACAGAAAGCCGTAGTGGGGGGCGCCGACGCCGCATCGCTACACTCTCATCAGATTTCCAGTACACCATTTATAAACAGCTGTATCTTGTATTAACCCAACCAAAAGAAAACCAATGACCGATAGTATCGCATTACGTGGAAGCTGAAATATACGACAATGATCAGTTTGTGCGCAACGGTTGCTGTCGCTCTAAATCTCCGATACAATTTAGTGCAACCGCATTATAACGATCAATCCAAAACCAATACAAGACACAACATTTTAATAGATAATTTTGAATTTTGTTAGCTGTGACTAAAGCGTGAGATGGTTTCGGTTATTAGTTTACGAAAGAGGATATATTTTGTTTCTAACTTGCAACATTTGCTATGCTGTAATGGAAGAGTCAATATTAACAAGCTTTTTGAAGTAGAGATTTAGTTATAACAATATTCGAAGAAAAGATAATAATTTTATATATACAAGTAAAACATTTGAAATTTATCAATATTTACAAAAAATACATTTAATTGTACATAGTACATTCAGCACAAAATCTGAATAGCGCGTAGATTTAAAAGAATGTTAGTTAAGTTTACATATTTCTAACATTCTCACCAGTCCAATTAAGATAAGCGATAAAAGAATTCGACAAATCATTGAAATTTAAATACAATTTCGCATATTGGAATTAAGAGGCAGAGTATCCAAAGCGTTATAGTGTGAGGTTTTAGCTATTGTAAGACAGTACTCACCATCTCCGGAACCTAAGTTATGTCTATCGAATACTTTTTGCATGGGCGCAGTGGAGGACCCCGAAGTGGGGTAATGTCTTTGTGATTTCCCCGGCGAGGTCATCACAAGGTCATACTCGGAGTCTTTAGCGCCGTGCACCATGTTATAATTGGATCTCATTATTTTATCACTTCTGTACGAGGAACCGTCACCGAATTCGTTCTTCCGTTTATAACTTTGTTGTCTGTCGTAATAGTTGGACGTCATCGGCATGACGTGCTGGTGCTGGTGGCTGAGCGGAGTTGTCATGTTCTGATTGTAATGCATCTCTGACGTTTCTACTGGATGCGACCGATTTTGTCTCATCATCGGTACGTTTGAGATCATATCTGTAAAAGTATGACCGACTAATATGAAATTTTCAATTGCAAAAGTCAAAATTTAAATGCGCAAATTACAACCAAGCATTGGATAACAACTATCATTACCATGGCAAATTTGCTTCCTTGATGTTGTAAGTTTATACTTTTTGTCCCTTTCCCGCATGGTGGTATTTTTTTCAAATTATTTACTCTCTAAGTTTAATATCGTAAAAATATATAGCCTAAAGCGTGTCGTAAGTGTAAGGCTATTTATTAAAAAATAGATTTTAAAAAATGTACTGTGATTGCTGACATCCTACTAAGTAATGTGTGTTTGCGCTTTATTATATTAGTATAGTAGTATAGCTTAAGTAAGAGCATAAGCAAAGGTTAGTTGCTCCAATATAATTCAAGTAAAATTACTCACTAGTATTATCGGTGTCGGAATTGACATCGTGTCTAGTCGTGGGCCAGGCGCGCTCTCGGGACTCCGCTATGTCTTGCTCGCTGCTCGACACACACTGAACCATGCCCTGGAATTGAGCATTTAGACTACCATTACAACAAATACACATAGATTTCACAAGATGCTAAATGCTATTAGAAGAAACAGAAAAGTAAACGAGATAGAAACATAAAACAATCTTAATAATATTATAAATACGATAGTTTAGATGGAAGTTTGTTAGATTTAGCCTAAACTGCTGTACGGATCTCGATGAAATCTGGCTTAGACCTAGAGGATAATCTGAAAGAACACATAGGCTACTTAGTTTTTTTTATTCTACCCGGTCGAAGGCGTGGGCGAAAACTAGTAGAAAGATAAAACAAAAATATATGCGTACCGATGAGTTAATGTCCGCGGGCTCGGGCGACTTGGTGGTGGTGTCGGCGTAGTTGGCCTGCGTGGACATGCACCGCGCGCCGTACACACGCGGACTGCACGCCGTCTCCAGCGCGCCCAGCGGACTGTGCGTCGTCGTGTCGGGCGGACTGCTCCCCGATACCGCCTGGTTGTTGGGGGATTTACCACGTTGCTGGTTCACCAACGTCTGTGTCGACACCGAGTGACGCACGTGACTGTTAAACGTCCCTGGACCCAGCAAAGGATTGAACTCGTTCATAAATCTCACATATCCATCGTTGTCCATCTTAGCTTCGGGCTCGTTCGGCAACTGACCGAAGGCGGCCGATGTGTGTTTGTCCTCTTTTATTTCTTCGATTTGGTTATTTTCTGTTGCCATTTGGACAAAACTTCTCCCTTTTTGATTTATTTGTTTATGCGCCAGAAGTAGACTCGGGTCAATGCTGAGACGCGAGGAATTGCCTCCGTGTAAATTAGTTTGACACGACATCTGAGCGTTGTGGGAATTCGACACTAGTGTTGTTTGTTGCTGAACGATCGTCGTGTTCTGTTGGACGAAGGTCGAGTTGCTTCTGTTGTTCGACGCCGAAGCCAGGGACGCCTGCTTGTTAGGTGACAAGGGAACCATTAACGTTTGTCCCATCTGATTGGTCTGTATGAATTCTTGCGTTTGCACGTTTCCCGTCCTCACCTGGTGCGGACTCGTGTTGAAGGTGACATTTGTGGGACTTAAATTAGCGAGTAGAGGGCTCAGCTGGCCGTTGAAGTTGGGGCTGCTCATCATGACCTGGTTGTTGGGGGATAGGAACTGTGCGCCGGGACTAGGCTGCGACTGTATTAGCTTGCCTTGCTGGTTCTGTGCGCGAAGCACAACTCCGCTGTTGCCGCCCGCGGCGAACACGCCCGCGTTCTGCACCGGCGTCAGCACGTTCTGCCCGTTCACCGTCTGCAGCTGCAGCTGCATCGGCATGCCTGTAGCGTTGTCTTGAATGATCGCCGTACCGTCCGCAGTCATCACCATACCGCCGAGGTTGGGCACGATGAATTGTTGGAACGCGGGGAAGTTTGACATGACACTAGTCGTATTGTTGATCAAATTGACGGGCTGCAAGAGGTTTATCTGCTGCGATGGCGATGTATTCGCTATTATCTGTTGCGATCCAAAGTTGTTAGTGTTTCCCTGTCCGTTCATCACGATATGCGCCGGCGTGCCCGACTTGCCGGGCACTATAGTCAACGCTTGCAACATGGGAGTGGGGGAAAGATTATTGGTCGGGGAAAGTTGGAAGCCGCGCGGCGAGAACTGCGGACTAGAGTTGTGCTGCGGAGACGAGTGCACCATTATATTACTAGGGTTCTGCTGCGGCGCCGTTATTTGTAAAACGTTTGTTATGTTAGCAGATTGGTTCTTCTTCTTTTTGCTCCTTTTCTTCAAGCTTTCCGGCGAAAGCATCGTCATACCTTGAACGAAGTTCTGTCCATTCTTGACATCTATCTGCCGATGATTTT